GGGTGTGGGTGGGTGTGGGTGTGATTCCTTTGTTCCACTCGCACCCACACCCACACACCCACACCCTGTTTATATAAAAACATGTTACTATATTATTACATATTTTATTTTATTTTCTTGTTGCTGTTCTTGTTGATTTTAAAGTTCTCGTAAAGCAGTATTTAATTTCGTTCGAATCTTTTAGTTTAAATCATTTAATGTATCATATCGAATATTAGTTCTGCAAAAAAAAGAACATCTATCAATAAGTGAGAAATTATTAATTTACTGTTGTTCGTTGAAAAAATTTTTATATTGTATAGTAACCCATTTGTATGATTCTCGTCCATTAAACTATATATAAAAAGAATTAAAAATGAATGTGAATTAAATACGCTTACATTCAAACGGATTTTAAACATCTCATTTTCATAATAATGTACTGTTTCAAGATTTATATTTTCTTTCATATAGTTTATTTTGACATGACCATTGGCATCTCGATACCAAGTAAATATTATGTTTTCCTATAATATAATAAAAAAGAATAAACATCAATAGAACAAGATATAGGTGTGGGGCACAGTGGACAGCCAGGCGACAAAATCGGTTTTCGAGATTTAGACAAATATCATAGCTAGCATTGGAGCTGCTGTGCTCCTGCATTTAACTGCATCCCGGATAATGATTGAAAGCAAGTGTCTGTTAAGTTACAGGCACCATAAGGTATGTAAAATAGGTAAATATCACTTATAGGCAGGCCCCGCGCGAGGGTCCCAAGATTAAGGGGGGGGGGGGGGGGACGAGATTTCAAGGCAGTCAAGATTGAGGGAAGCAAAATATTTTTTCGCATCAGATCTGATGTTAATCTTTTTCTGCGGACCTAAAATGTAATAATTTTTCGCGAAGCGACAACTTTTTGCAACCTCCTTAAAAAATTTGATTTTTTCTCGCAAATTTCTAAGAAGAGAACTCGAGTCCAATATGAGAAAATTCCTCGATACTGTCGTTATCGAAGGCGACCACTTTGGCACAAGTTGCTCTATATCAAGCTGTTTCAAAGGAAAAGTTGACTAAAGTATTATCCGATCCAAAGTAAAAGGCAAGTTACCATTTTTCGAATAACTTTTGATAGGAACGAGATAGAGAGCTGCGATTTTCACCATTCGAAAGAGCGATGTCCGAGCCATTGATCGGTATAGAACTCATTAAGACGAAAGATGTTTTTTTTTATGGGTACCTTTGGATCAACACTTTTCCTTTGAGTATTTTCATCAATTTTTCGAATAATCTCAACTCAAATTATGTCAAAATGTAGCTCAAATCACCCTTTTTTTCGCTATAAAATTAACATTTGTTTTTTTTAAATCCGCTTAGAATAAGCGATTGAGAGATAATGAAATATGTGATAATTTTATAGCGAAAAGAGGGTGATTTGAGCTACATTTTGACATAATTTGAGTTGAGATTATCGTGAAAATTGATGAAAATACTCAAAAGAAAAAGTGTTGATCCAAAACTACCTATCAAACAAACATCTTTCATCGTAATGAGTTCTATACCGATCGATGGCCCAGACATCCCTCTTTCGAATTGTGAAAACCGCAGCTCTCTATCTCGTTCCTATCAAAAGTTATTCGAAAAATGGTAACTTGCCTTTTATTTTGGATCGGACAATAGGAAGTTTGTCTAAGTTAACTGCGTTACACAATTGTTATTTTTCGCGAAGCGAAAACATTTTTCAGACTCACGAAAAACTCTTTTTCCCTTATGTTGTTCGAAAGCAAAAAGTGTTGTGATAACTCTTATAGATTTCGCCGCCGAAGGCGGCCACGCTAGTGACGATTGTTGGAAAATGAAGCTCTTCAAAAGGAAGAGAGAAGTAAAATTGCGTTAAAAACAGAAAAATCACAGATATTTCTAGGTTGAATACGCTCCCATCGTCATGTTTTCGCGAAGCGAAAAATTTAAACATCCCTTCAGAATTTTCTAGCAAAAAATTTCAAAAAGATTTATCGATTTTGTTGGCTACGAATGATTAATTATTAATTATTGGGGGGGTGTACACCCCCCTACACCCCCCCACTTTCGCGGGGCCTGGTGCAATGCAACAAATCTTTGCAATAGCTTGTTTAAAATCACGCATTCAAAGATTCAATGATCATAGCAGTACTTCTTCAACAGGTTTCTTCTTTTTTATATCCTTCTTTAATGTATATGTTTCTTCGGGGGTGAAAATCTTTTTTTTTTTGTAAAGCATGTTTCTTTCTCTTCGTCTTAAAAAATGATTAGGATATGATCTTATTCTCTTGTTTTCACCTTTTTCTAGGTAATGGTTTGTATATTTCCTTATACATCGACATCGCACATGTCTGTATTTTGCATGTTTGTCAATTGGTTTGTACCAGGCTTTAAATCGAAGTGTAAATCTCCAAAAGACTCTTCTGTATCTCATATTAGTGCGTATCACTAGATTTTCTCTTTTTTCGTTTCGAAAAGCTTTTTAATTCATTTGGCTTTTATTTAAATTCTAGATACCAATGAACGATATGATTAAATCACTGCTAATGCGAGTTTTGTGGAACTCACATATATTTTCGAAGAAAATAGTGAGTGTAAGTTTTAAGTTCAAGTTTTTGCGGCTCCCCCTCTCCATTACAGACACCCTCCATTATAGGCAGGTCTCCATTACAGACCTTAGCTATTAAGAATAACAGGCGTCAGACTTTCTAGTTTTTTTGAAAAATTGATTAAGTTAGAATCTTGAAAGATAATCCAGATCATTGTTTGTGAGCTGATTAATATATATAATAGTGCATAAGATCTTCCGTAGATATCATGGACATATATAAAACAGATTTATTTACCAATTAATTCAATGATTATAATAATAAGAATGTTGAGTTATGGAAAACGAATTAAAATTAAAAAAATGAAAGGTAATGAGCGAATAGCAACAATGCAAGAGAAAAATAGGGCGTTCTTAAACAAAAAAAAATTTTTGTTTTAAATGTAGACATAAACACCAAAGTCTCGCTCTTATCATCGATTATCAATGAAAACAACTACAGTGTATACGGAATTTTTCAGTTTACATATGATGCATTAGAATATTAAGATTTAAGGATATATGTCAGTCCCACATTTCAGCTGCAAAGGAGCTGCGCTAACAAGCTTTTTTTTTTATTTCCAACGTTTAAAAGAACTTCCTTTGAACCATCTGTATCTTTCGTTTCATAACTAAGAAAACAAACAAATTTGATTTTCTGCACCACTTGTGAAGAATAGAAATACAAAGAATTTGGAGAGCGTTATAAAAACAATCGAACTTTGACAACATTTACTGCTAACTCTTTGCTGTCTTAAAGCTTTTTCATGTTATTGGTGCAGAGTATACTATGAAAGTGAATAGGTGACTCATTTGTTTTCAGGAGGAAGTAAAACATGTGATAAAAAAGAATCGCTCGTTGTCTCTTCTGTTTTGCTTGTCACACAGACAAAGCAAAAACTAGTCATGACTAGCATATATTGGTAAATTAGGCAAGAATTTACTTTTATTACGTTTGCATGATTTTCGATATAAGATCAAAATACAATTAGTCATGTATTTTCGCAATAACGAACACTGTATTCTCTCTTCTTTATTTTGTTCTTGCGAAAAAACATCGAGGGCGCTCACGTTTGCCTATAAAATGGAAGCAATGCATAGACAAGACTCACAATCGTTGATAGAGAAAGTAGGTGACATGCACAAAAATAACTGGTTTTTTTCTAATTGAAACTTTTCTTTTTAGTCTAGAGACCGACGTGAAGTAGTGCTTATATCTTTTTCTAACATATATGACTGGTGCTGTTTATGACACAAAACACTGGTTTCACGAAAGAAATGATAAATTTTGGCCTGGTCAAGAATTTGGTCTTGAAATCGATGAAATTCTTCATCAACAACGATCAAAATATCAAGATATCCTTGTCTTCAAAAGGTAAATTATGATCTGCATAGCTTGTTCTTAGAATGATCCATTTAAACATATTTGTGTACGTATCTTTTAAGTAAAACTTACGGCAATGTGCTCGTATTAGATAATTGTATTCAATGCACGGAACGTGATGAGTTCGTCTATCAAGAAATGGCTGCCTTTCTGCCATTACTCGCACATCCCTGTCCGAAACGGGTTTGTACGATTTCAACACAGTAACTCTAGAATGATTATTTCTTTATGTAGGTTTTAATTATTGGTGGAGGTGATGGTGGTGTCCTTCGTGAAGTTGTCAAACATCCACAAGTCGAAGAAGTTGTTCTTTGTGAAATCGATCAGGTAATATCGATAAAATATATTTGATTTCAGCTATATAACTTAGAAATGTTTGTAGAATGTGATTGATGTGAGCAAAAAGTATCTTCCTAACATGTCTAAAAGTTTCAAAAGTTCTAAGGCAACGATTCATATTGGTAACGGTTTCGAATTTCTCAAAAAGCATCAGAATGAATTCGATGTTATCATTACTGATTCGTCTGATCCTGAAGGTAGTCATCTTGTTCTTCAGTACACAGAAGCAATCATTCATATTTAGGTCCCGCTGAAGCATTATTCGAGAAGCCATATTACTCATTGATGAAAGCAGCACTCAAACAACCACACGGTATCATCTGTTGTCAAGGTAGAAAGTCTCTTGAGTTTTACTCGAATACTTTTTAAATCTGATAGCTGAATGCATTTGGTTGGATCTTCCTCTGATCAAAAAGATGTCTATATTTTGTCGTGAACTTTTCTCAACGGTAGCCTATGCCATCTTTTCAACACCAACTTATCCATGTGGTACGCTTGGTTTTATTGTTTGCAGTCTCGACAAAGTAAAGTCTAGTAAAAGTATTCGCTTTTTTTGATGCTATTATATTATCATATAGAATATAAAGTTGACAGAACCTATTGATGTACAATTAGCGGATCAGCTTGATACTCGATATTATACGAGTGACATACATCGTGCTGCATTTGCTCTACCTGCTTTTGTTTGCAAGGTGAGTAGGTGTGTGCGTATAAGTAAAGCAGAAGAAATTGTTTTTTTTTCTTTATAATTGATTAGGAACTCCAGTTGCAAAAGCAATAATCGACGAAATAAAAAGAGACACTTTATACAAGATTGTCATTCAATGTTTTTTTTTTCAATCCAAATAAATATTCATTTCACTACTTTGCAATTTCAATTTAATCTTTTAACATATGCACTAGAATATGTTGTACTAAATGCTCATGAATTTTTCTCGAACTAAGTATTCATGCAAGTATTGTTCTTGTTTTGTTATATGACAGAGAATTTCAAGCTCTACAACACATAACACATTGGAAGTTTTAATATATAACGCAAAAAAAGTCCTGATAAAAAAAATGAAGACTATCATTTAGTCTTACTGGAATCTTACTTGAAAGCAACATGAAGATTTATTCAATTATTGTGCTGAATATAATTTATGATCTATGAAGTGAAGATTTTACTCCTCTGAACTGTTGCATTTCTTGCTAAAAGAAAGTCTCTATTTTCAGGCGGATTGATGCGAATTCTGTTTTATCCAGAACGAAAACATCGTTGCGTACGAGTCCTTGTTCCAGAAAAGCCAAAATGAGAATACCGATGTAGAAAAGTTTCTTGAGTTCTTCTTGTCAAGTACGGAACAGTGAGTAATAATTGTTTCAGATTCACAAAATTCCAAATGCTCTCGACTCATTTTTTGAACGATAAAATTTTTTCTGCTCTCAATTTCCTTTAATTGAACTCCAAACTATCTCATTTAGCTAAATATTAGCAAACTTTGCATCACCAACTCCAGGATCAATGCACTCGTTAAACAATGATTCGATAGTATTCATCAAAATTGTTGTTCAATGTTTCACATTCTTATTGTCTTGAAAAATTGGTACCAAGTTAATATTTTAAAAAAAATGACAAGCTAATCCATAGTGATGTAAAAATAATTCAAAAAAAAATTTCTATGAATTTTATGTTACTCATATCTCTGTGACTGTGAGAGATAGAAAGTTCAAATTCTGATCTAGAGTAGATCTAAATTTTTAGTTTTGCAAAACATATCGACAACATTTCTATCAAGACATGAATTTATTTATTCAGACTTTCTCTTGCGGAAGAGCGATCATATACTTCTTGATTATGTAAGGATAGTAACTACTGGTTCTATGGATGTAGATAAGATGTTCGAGACAGGAGTATCGCTTTCTTGACCCTTAAAGTATTGAAAAAAATTCATTGAAGAAGATTTGATGCTAGTTTCATTTTATTGTTTAGTAGACTAGTATTGAAAAATGGAAACACTCATTTGTCTCAGTTTACGATCTCAATCATGAATCTAAAAACCTACGACATATTGACGTCTTAAATTGATTTTTCAGTAAAGAATTATGATTTTATCTGAATATTTGTATTTCGAAATTTTCATAGAAAAAAAATTCATGTTTTTAGCTATTTCAAAAACATTAAAATCATTTCATTAGTTTGATATCGTTTTCATTGCATAACTTTGATTATTTACAAAAATTAAAATCATTATATTAGTTTTCCTATTTTTACACCATTTTCGATTCATGATTTCGATTATTTCGATAACGAAAAATCAGTAGAAAAAATTTCATTAAAATGATATAAATTACTTCATCTGTTGCCATTTTTTTTATCCACTGGGATGATCGAATAATTAATGTATTTATATTCTGATTATAAATGATTTTTATGGGTAATTTTATCGTTATTTTGAATCTTTGTTTTTCATTTGAAATGAGAAAAATACTTGTGAAATAGAAATTTTGTTATCAAAATATAGGAAAGTTAAGAAAATGTAATAATTGCTGATCGATAGATGACACCTCTATATGGAATGGATATTGCAAACAATAACTTGATTTATTTTCGATAAATATTCAAGTTAAAATAATCTGTGTTTTTCTGAACGGAAAGACAAATATTTTCGATAATAAGACTAAAAAAAAGATAAAGAATGATTAATAAATATTGAATTGGCTATATCTATCGAATCAAATAGTGTTCTTTCTCCAATAGAGTTTGATTGATGTTTGTATGTCAACGAAATAACAAGTCATCTAATAAAGAAATGATCGCATTAGATAAACAATCATGGCATATAGGAGAAAATTAGACTAATTTTAGCAAATATTTTTTTTAAATTTAGATCCTTCGACGTGAAAATTGTCTACCATTATAAGACTTAATTTGTTTAAATATTATCTAAGAAATGATTTTCATTATCTGATTCTTATCATTCAAAGTAAGAATTAAAACAACAGTTTATTCTTTATTTAATCTTTTATCTATTGAAAAAATTTTGATATGATAAAGTTATTTTTCTCCATGTTATTTAAATTATAGATAAAAACAATCTTCCAACAAAGTTATTCGCTGATTATTTACTTGGTATGAAAGATATTTTTTCATTAAAACTCCAATTATTATGTCGAACAATGATATTTGAAAAACTTTTTTGAATTAAAAAATAATGGACAAAAAAAAATAAGGTAATTATTGTCTTGTAATACTGTTTAGAATCTTTTCAATATGTTTATGTATATCAATAAACATTATTTCAATTAGATTAACTAATTTTAACCAATCAGAACAATAATTTTATATTTTAAATGAATATCAAATATTAAAAAGATTAATAAAAAAAAATTGAGGATATCAATTAAAGAATAGAAAATATGTTCAGTTCATATTTGTTATATTTTGTTTTTAATTATCTTACACCATAGGTATAAACAAAATAGATAAAATACACAGGGATGTGACGAAGAGAAAAAAGTGGGAGGATGCAAGAGAAATTTTTTGAAAAGTTGAGGATGTATTTTAAAAAAATATTGAACATGAAATAATGCATTTACGAAATTTTAAAAAGTGAGGGGAGGGTGCAGATCCTTATGTTCCCTTATTTTTCCATCTCACGATCTTTCTTTTCAATAAAATGAACAATTTTTGCTAAGAAAAAACGAAAATTTTCTAAAAGTGAGGGGGTGAGCACTCCCCTACACCCCGTGGTCGTCACATCTCTGAAGATACAAACTAACATATTCACTATAATACGTTGTCGATTGATTAGATTTATCATAACATTTTCTCAAAATAGTTTATACAAGATTTACTTTTAAGTATCTATTGAGCGAAAGACTCTGGAATTAAAATAGAAAATTCTTTCTATTGAACCTATAAGGAATTTAATGTTGATATGAATATCGACATTTTCATTGCATTATTCATGAGCAATTTAAATTAAATCAGTAGGATTTTCTTAACTGATTGAGATCAAAAATAAAATCAGTAGATAAAATAAATTATCTTCAAGTAGAATTATTTAGAACTGTTTTTCTGATCTAATAGAGTCAAACGAAGAAAGTTATTAACCAATGACGATCTAAAGCGAATGAGCGGTTGTTTTCTCTTTCAAGAAAATTTTTTTCTAGCAAAAAAAAAATGAGTTTATTCTATTTTAGATGAACGTCAAAAAAATGATTTTTGCCTATAGTTACTTTCTCCTCTTCGGGAAAGTGTTTCCTTCCTCTTCCGAAATTGTAGATTTGCCACTCTTATTAACAATTCATAACGATAGAAACTCAAATAAAAATTAAAAAAAAGAAAAATTTTTTTATTCTTTTTTTTTTTGTGTTAAAAAACCTATTTATGCAACAGATTTTTGTGAATATTGTTGATGACCCATTAGATATAGAGCCTCAATTCGAATACAATGCGTTGAAACATATGACGTATATTAATTCGAAAGAACGACAAAAAAAAGGTCATTTTATAATTTCGCACGTCATATAAGTTTGTATAAGAATAGTAGGACACATTTATCCTTCGACATAGTGTATATTATGTGTATTTCGAAGTATAAAAAAAATGATCCGCAAATGTAAGAATCAGGAATTTTTGCTATATTTTATTTGCATAGTTTAAGTTCGAATTTTGTTTAATTTATGTTGATTAATATTGTTATTTGTTAATGAGATATTTCGATATGTTATATATGTTTCTAACGTCAATTTTCTATTTGTAAATATAAATATAAGGTAGAAGTATTAGTTATAGAAAATGAATGAAGTTTTTATTGATAAAAATAAAAATAATTGTTTAAATATTTCAATTGAATAATTTTAGATAAAAAAAAAAGAAAAATAATGTTGTCATGTTTTCTTGTTGCAATTAATTCAATACGCGTTGTTATTCCAGCAATAAGTTTATTTGGATCAGCTCCAACATTTTTTGTTGTATGGTTTTTATCACGTTTAATAACATTTATTTTTTGTCCTCATTATATTTATCGTCGTTGTGATGATTATTTATATTCACTTTATCAAAAATTTGTTCTTTTTTTCTTTGAACATTGGACTAATACGAAAGTATGTTTCGATCTATTTTTGTTTTTTTGATTTTGATTTTTATATAATTAAGATTTATTTTCATGGAGATTATGAAGAAATAATGAAAAAAAAAGAAAACGTTTTATTCATATCAAATCATCAAAGTTCGGGTAGAAATATTCTTTAAATAATATTCTAATAAAAGTGAAAAGACTAGTTTAGTTGATTGGATAATTGCAAATATGTTAGCTGTTCGTCAAGATAGTCTTGGTCATATTCGATATATTCTTAAAAATGAATTAAAATGGATTCCATTATATGGATTTTATTTTCAACAAGTAAAAACAAAAAAAAAATTAAATTGAATAAACAAAAAATCTTGTTAATTATTTATTTAGCATGGTTGTATTTATGTTCATCGAAATGATAAAGGAGATTTAGAACGTGTTGAAAAAGGCATAGGTCAAATAAAATCAAATGGTTTACCTGTTTGGCTTGTTATATTTCCTGAAGGTACTCGATATAATCCAATTAAAAGTCAAGATGTTATTGAACGATCACGACAATTTGCAAAACAAAAAGGTTAGAAGAAATATTTTTTGTCTATTTATTTTAAAATCTTCTTTTGTATGTTAATATCACAAAAAAATATATATTGTAGTATCATAGATGAGTACTGCGCTGAAAAAACAGGGCAAAGACGCCAATAGTCTCAAGATAACAGTGGAG